GGTCCAGTTTGTAAGTGTGCGGTACTGTTTTGGGGACCTAAAAAGCGGTTTTTGCAACATGTGCTCTTCGTCAGCCCAAGCAGCTCGAGATCCAACCTTTCACCCTCGCAACGAGTACAGCATGGCCGGGAAAGATGCAGGGCTCAGCGCCTGGTCCTGCTTCCGCCCGACTGGGTCTGTACCAGGCACGCTGGGTTTAGGGGTTCAGGGGTCTAGGGGTTTAGGGGTTTAGGAGTATTGGGGTTCGGCGGTTTAGGGTTTAGGGTGGAAGCCCTTGGGTTCAGGGCTTCCTGCTTTACCAAAGGGGTCCGGATACATAGCACTACCCACTATTCCCTAAGGCTCCTCAATATATAGCTGTGCTATGCTACACACCGCAACCCTGTCCCAATATTTTAAGGCCCCGGTGTTGTGCACAAACGCTTCGCAGTGCATGAGCATCTGTGTCGTTGGATTTAGCCAAACCGGACAATGGAGCTCTCAGCAGAAGCCCAAAACTTTAAACCCAAGTCCTAAACCCAAACCTAAAACCTAAGGTATCGCCATAGCATCACAAGTCATCACCAGCAAGAAGACGTTGACAGCATCCTGAAGCACAGAGCTGAATCGGGTTCCGACAAGGACCTTAAACGTTAACAGGTGTGTATATACATACATACATATATATATATATATATATATATATATATATATTCATGCTCTACCCTATCTTAGATAATACATATTGTATACCGTATACTACATACTATATCTAGTAATATGTGCATTGTATACTGTTTATTACTTATAATGTGGTGTATCTACATTTCGTATATGCTACATATGCCATATTATAGTTTTCATGTATTACATATTTGGTATTTGGTATTCTACGCTATATATGTATGAACATATTCAATGACATCTTATAGGGGACATTGCATATTATGTTTTGCTATTCCATCACATATCTTACACTCTATATTACGTTTTATCCAGTATGAGTTAGACACTACATATTATGTATGATATACTATAACATATATATATGTATATTATCTTATATTATGTTTTATTAGTAACATATTATGTATTATGCGCACTATCTTGTTTTATGTTACATATTTAGCATGTATATTGTACATTGACTTATCTATGTTATAGATTTCAATAAATAATATATAAACGAAGCATTGAATACTATATACTATTGTTTACAATCGTTAAATAAATAAATATATATATATATATATATATATATATATATATATATATATATATATTATACCGTACATCATACCCCTTAAAAGAAATATCAAAACTTAGATTAGATATGACAAGTTGAGGTTTTAGGGTTGCCGCTCCAAGCAGGCGAGGCCAGTGACGTGCGAGACTTTGACTCGCTCGTTGCTCGGTCGAAGAAGGATTCTGCAGATTCCGGGATCACGGACATCGACCGCGTGATGTGCCTGGCCGCAGTTGAGTTCGAGCGGCTTCTCCGGCAGCGTATAGATTTTGGGGAAGACGTGGACTCGCAGGACGGCGGCCCTGTCGCAGCGACACGCCCTATTGACACCACTCCTCCGCGGCTGCATCCGGTTTTGAAGATTTCTTCCGCTGCTAGTGCATGGGGGGACTATGAGCAGATCCAGAATGTGCCGATGTCAAGCAGCTTAGCTGTCATAAACTGGTTTCTTCATTTTGGTATTCTTTTACAAAGCATACTCCGACTGCTGGCCTTGAAGTCCCTGTCGAAGGGCTTTTCGTGGTATGGAAGCATGCGAACCAGTAGACGTTTGCGACCCTTGTGCATAATGCGTTGTAAGTTCACGCCTCATCCCCAAATCCTCAAGGTATTTGAACATGACGTGTCATGACACGAGTGTCGCTGGTGCTCTTCCTTACATCCGGGTTTCAGATGGTAATCAAGTAACCTCGAAATGAAGATCCTAAATCCTAGGATCCGTGCGACGAGGACCTTGAGCAGCACCCCATTTCTCGCGAAACCACCGCATTTTCCCGTACCGAACCTCGGCCCTAAAAAGCAGAAACCCTGACGATCAAATGTGTCAGGACGCCCTTGGCTTCGTGGAGGTAGTGGTGGAAGGACCTTCAGCAAGACCTGCAGAGAGAAGGCCCGGGTTTGCGGGCAGTAGCAGCAGTAGTAGTAGTAGTAGTAGCAGTAGTAGTAGTAGTAGTAGTAGTAGTAGTAGTAGTAGTAGTAGTAGTAGTGGTTGTTGTAGTAACAACAATAGCAGTATCAATCATTATCACAATAATGTACCATATTTTTCAGGCATACATCATAACTCCAAATGAACATACCAATATCTATATATGTGTATCTTTTTGATTATGTATATATATATATACATATGTGTATGTACTTATAGAGGGATCTACACGAGTTTAGAGCCATGTGTTTTTGGATATCTGGAGATTCCGAACTGCAGTTCATCCCGAGCGATTCGGCCTTAAATCCTAAACCGGTATGTATAGTACAGTCTTTAGGGGTTTGGGGTTCAAAGCCCTAAACCCGTGAAGACTATACCATAACATGCACAAAGGCTTAGGACTTACAAGGCCGAATCCCTCGGGGTTCACGGTGTGTTTAGCATCCTTAACTCCCTAAACTCTGAACCCTCGAAACCCCCAAAAAAGCCCCAATCCGAAGCCCTGAAGGCCACCCTGGCCTTGCAGCCGATCGTCGGGATCTTCAAGAGACGCTGCAAGACCCAGGAGGGATCGGGGATAAGCAGTTCCGGGTTGAGAGACTAGGAGTTATAGGGGTTATAGGTTTGGGTTTCAGGGTTTAGGGGTTCAGGGTTTAGGGGTTGAAGGTTTAGGGGTTGAAGGTTTAGGGGTGAAAGGTTTAGGGTTGAAGGGGTTTAGGGTGAAGCTTGGAAGGATGTTTTTGATGCTTGGAGAGCATGAGAATGTTGTGCGAAGTAGGTTCATAGCTTTCTAACGAACTTCTCGCCTCAAGCCGCAAACCGTTGGCACTACTGTTGGTAGTACGACCAGTACCATGCCTGCTTGTACGAGTGTCGGTTACTCTCAAGCCACTATACGCCACACACACCAGCACACCAGCACACCAGCACACCAGCACACCAGCACACAGGCACACCAGCACACCAGCACACCAGCACACCAGCACACCAGCACACCACCACACCACCACACTACCACACTACCACACCACACCACCACGCCACCACACCACCACACCACCACACCGCAACACCACCACACCACCACACCACCTCACCACCTCACCACCTCACCACACCACCTCACCACTTTACCATCACACCACCACAACCAGCATCACCACCACTGCGCACTATGATAAGCATGACGATGTGTCTGCAAGGACGCGGATGCGGTGGGCATGTGACATCCCACCTTTCAACCTGAGTTTGCCTCAGGTTTAATGTGTCGTGCCTTCTGAAGATGTAAGCTTCTCCGCAAAGCTGCTGGCACAACGCGGACCGACGAAAAGGAGCACTGCAGTAGCAGTAGCAGCAGAAAACAAGATGGATCTTTGTAATATTGAGCCTCATAATGGCAAGGCCTTTGGATACAGTAGCATTCTCAAGCAGGCATCGTCTAATCTTGGATCCAAGACCCTGCTAGTTCGGTCCTCGTTTTGCCTCCTGACGAGCGTGATTCCGATCCCTGGGCGAACGTGGCGGCACTGGTCTGACAGAAGCACGTGCGTGGCAAAGGTCGTGCTTCTGTTATTGGCGGTGAGAAGTAGACAGCCATCATTCGCTGTAACAGCCGCTTTCTGCAGAGGCAACACGCCAAGACAATAACGAGCAGCAATGGTGGCCACAGCAAGCAGACTCATAGCATTTATGCTGTCATGGTGAGAATGCCCAGTCCGAGTCACGCCCCTTTTTTGTTTTTGGGGCCAAGGGGAGGGATGCAGCCAAGATCGTTGTCAGTGGACTTAGGGTTTTGGTATCCCTGACCTTTTGACATGTGCATCTTATCTGCTCTTGTCACGCAAATCCGCGGCGTGGCATCCGCGCAGAGTTTCCCTGGCTTGCGAGAGTTTGAGCCCAAAGTGCACATTTACATTCATGATTGAATGCATGTTCTCGCTGACGGACTGTATCCGCACCTGACCTAATGCCACGACGAACCCGCGTGTACTTACAAGTATCTCATTACACAGCACGCGTGTGGATAGGCAAAGAAGATAGACGGATAAATGCATCGATAGGCCGGTAGATAGAAAGATCGATAGAACGATAGACCGGCAGATCGATCGATAGATAGATAGCCAGACAGGTAGACAGATAGATAGACAGACAGTTAGATATACAGAAAGATAGATGGACAGGTAGACGGATGGATAGATAGATCGGCAGCTAGACAGAAACAATCAACGGTGGATAGGTAGAGACTTAGCTGGTAACTGGGTTTGTAGGTAGGTAGGTAAATAGATAGAGAAAGACAGTTCGATAGGGAGAGAGAGTGAGAGTGCAGAATTCAACAGTACAATCTAGGGATACCGAGTAACCAGGATCAATCACTTTCCCCACAGTCAATCAAACAGACATTCTTTTGTGACGTCAAGCCAATCTGTCCAGTCTTGAGCCAATGCCACTCAGCATCGTAGCATTCTCAAATGCATTATGACAATTGGGTGCTTCATTGGGCTCGTGTCATGTAACACAGTCCCTTGGTCCTGACTTTAGTCGAGGATCACTCAAACATGGAATACAAAGCAAGCTAGCAAACAGTCGGCTCATGTATCATTCCCATTGAATCCGAGAATTTCATTCTCAGCAAGCCATTGAAGAAATCCCTTCAACATAGCAACACGAACTCCACATTGCAAAACAGTTGCAGTCGCAGGGCACTCCTAAATTAATCGCCAGCTCTGCGATCACCTGCCAGTGGCGCTGTGTGCAGTCTGAGCGAGAGCAGTCGCCACAGTGCGATCATTCGAGGCTTTCGCTTGGGCAGGTGCATTCCAAGCATTGGCGGCCTCAGTCTCCTCATTCTCATAATGAGATCTCGTCCCAGGTGGAACAGTCGTGCTCCAATCCACCTCCGACCGCTTGGCAGAGAGGGGCCATTGTGTGTCCCATCAGTCTCCACTCGATGAGGCATTGTCCGCGGGTGGTTGCCATTGCCCTCCGTTCGATGATCTCATTCAGGGACAGCAGCAGTTTGAGGCTGCGGTAGCACATTGGATCAGTCATCGTGGCAGCACTGTTCAGTGACAGTGGCCCCAAGGTCCAGGGCCAATCATTCGGACCATTGCCATCCCACTCATGAGTGCTGATATGGTCAGTGAATTGGTGATTAAAGGTTTTCGCCAACTTCATTCGAGCATTTCCACCGGCTCCGCCAGCAACCAATCTTCTCATTGCAGTCGCCTTGATGCGGCGAAACACCGCGAAGGCAATCGGCTCCTCCTTCACACTCTTCAAACACTCCCTGGTTGGCCCAGTGCACTCAGGGCATTGAAGCTGCCATTCAAGTGATGGCAAGGGAACCTGGAGAGGTCCAACTTTCCCGTGGTGTACTGTACAGTCCGTTGGCCAGTGACAAAGGCAAGCACAGCCAATCGTACACACTCACAAGGGAATCGGTGGCAATTTCAATTCACTGCCAGTTCCCTTTGCTGAGGAACAGTCGCTCGGCTTTTGTCATGCCAGTCCAGCCGCTCTCTATCATCCAGTGGTTGGGTCCATTCGCCTTAGGCTGGATACCCAACGAGTGCATTCTCATTCTCAAAGAGCTCATTCGAGTGCTGGTCCGGGTGGTCAAACCTGCAGGCAGTCGTGCCACTTGCTATGGTACCCGGCAACAGTACACTCAGCATTGGGGCCGTATTCTCTTGTGTCGGCGAGATCATTCGCCCTTTCCACCACTCTCTTGCGGTCATTCTCGACCACAGTGGTGACGTAGCAGTCAAGCTCATTCAACACACGATTGAGCTCAACTCCACAGTCCATTGGTGTGAGGGCATTGGACACCTCCACACTCCAGCCTGTGCTACACCATTGTCTCGTTCATCAAGTGGTGCCCCCCAGGGCACAGCACTCAAGGCAGCATTCGGCTCATTCAACACATTTGGCACGCGGGGCTGCCCAGTCGGCATGTTATTCCCAGTGCCGTTCGAAGCAGTGATGCCCAATGTGGCATCAAGCGCAGCAGGGCCAGTCGCAGGCTCACTGGCACCAGTCGGCGGGTCGGCGGTCTCAGTCGGCGGGCGAACAAAGCTTTCGCCTTGCGCCAGTCGCTGCAAGTCCATTCTGCCGTCTGGCACTCCGCCAGTCATGAACAGTGCGACCAGTGAGCTCTGCGCACCACTCGCCTTCACGTCCTCAACAGTGCGGCCAGACAGTGCGGCCACATCAATCGCCAGTTGCTCTCCAGCGATTTCCTCAAGCAAATTCTCCGGCAGTGGCTCCATCGGCACTCGGGTGATTGCTGCTTTCGGAGCAGTCGAAGGCTCAGGGGCCATTGCGACAGTCGGGGCGAGCGAAGGTCACGGTCTACACTACCGGCAGTCGATTGCCACTAAGGAACATTCAGAGGCAACATTTCGGGGGGAAACACATTGACCTCAGTCGGCAACACAAAACTTAAGGCAGTCCCTTGCATTGCACTCTGTACATGCAGGTCTCTCGCAGTCACTTGCAAATTCATTGCGTTCGGAGTGCGATTGCAAATCCAGGCTCTCATTCAAATTCCGAACAAGTTCAGTAGAAGTTCTTTCAAATTCCCTCAAATTCCATTCGGGATACGGCGGAATCGGGAAAAGTCTCGGCAGAGTCCCTTTGGGGCCGAATGGGCATTCTAGACTAGATCGGAGAAATCGTTTCGACAGTTGGAGAAAATTCGACTCTCATTCTCTCATCTCTCTCTTTCCTTGGTTTTGGCGTTTTCGGGCAACACTGAAACATCTCACATGCAGTCATGACAAGCCAGCTGCATTCATTTTACACAGACAAGAAAGCAGTGTGACATGTCAGGCAAACACTCAAGAACATGCGTGGCATTCGCTGCGATTCACCTACACAGTCCCTCATGACAAGCCAGCTGCATTCATTTTACACAGACAAGAAAGCAGTGTGACATGTCAGGCAAACACTCAAGAACATGCGTGGCATTCGCTTCGATTCACCTACACAGTCCCTCGGCGTGGACTTCAGTCCAACGGCGTCCAAAGAAGCAGTGTGTGCAGCGGATGCGTTGGGGGCGCGCGCGAGTGTGTGGGTGCGGGAGGGGGCGCGGGCGATGACCAGTAGGGTGGTGGTCGGGCAGGAGGAGGCCATTGAGGCTTCACCACAGGAGCAACATGACCATCAGTGTCATGAGCATCAGTGGCAAGATCCTTGAACCAATTCGACACACCGCCAAGAGGTGTCCGCAATCGCTCCAACACATCAGTTGCAACATATTTGGGATTCCAGGTGCCTTCAATCTTGGCCATCCTCGGTAGGTCCTTTTGTGCCAGATTCTGGACATACAGGAATTTCGCCAGCCTTGATTCCAACAACATTGATCGGACAAAAAGCGCTTCCGACACTGTACACTCCTTGACCAATCGCACACAACTCCGCTTCACCGGCGGACAGCGCCAGTGTCACTTGAGTCCGGGCAGTGCTAGCCACGTCGCGCCACAGGACATTCACAGTGGATCCGCTGGTGCTTTTGCTGCGCGTGCACGCGCAGCCAGCCCAGTCTGAGTCCACATAGACATTGATGTCAATGGCGCAGTTGCCATCCGCCAGTTGATGCGACGGTCGCAGTCTCAGCACGCGCATTTTCGTGCCAATCAAGTCTCGCAGTAGGTGTTTCCACTTCGCGACACTCTGCGCTGTCGGGGCAGTCACATCCCGACTCAACTCTTTCGTCGCATATGCAATGTCACCTCGAGCCAGTGCAAGCCACAGCAACTTGCCAACAGCCGTCCTGTACACTGAGTGCTCCTCAGCACTCAGTGGCGTGTCTGGAACATTCTTGGTGATCGTAACAGTTCCAGTCGTTGCCGCAGGCTTGGCATTTTTAATTCCATACAAATACGAAATCGTATCAGTGTACTTCTTCATCATTATGTCGCAGTCGTCTTCCAAGGAAGGTGTGCTCACTCCCTGGCACAAGTTGACCTGTCTCCTTCAGCAACACTTCCTCAGACAGTTGGGACGTCAACGACTTCCTCATTTCGTCAGTCCTTACGACCGCTAGGTCATATCGACATATGCAAGCACATACAATTGACCCTATTCATGACAGTACAGATTCGGACCACTCTTGCAGACTCTTGCACCTCCTAAATCCCAGTTTCGTCGTCATTGTCTCAGAGAAGTGTTCTTGCTACAGTCGCGGCGCTTGCCGCAATCCATACATGGCCTTGTTCCGCCTCCAGAGGCATTTGCCATCTGGATAGAACTCTTTCGGCGGCCAAACAAACGCTTCTTCAGTCATCAATGCATGCAGGAAGGCAGCGCTGACATCACTCAGTGTGATGCCCCAGTTTTTCTTGCCGTTGCCATGCAAAACAACAGTCGGATGGTGACCAGTGACGGTGTCGACGCAACCAGGTTGTTCTCTTCGCTCTTCTCGACCTTCTGGAAGCATCCACGGACAACCACTCCGCACCTCAGTTCGTCGTCATCTTTCCAGACCTTGACCCAACCACAGTCAAGGGCCTCATTAATCTGCTCATGGGTGCAGTCCTCAACCTTCACTTCATCATAAACTTCGAAATTCTTCACTGAGTTCATTTCTTTCAGCATTCCTGTACTTTCAGCTTCAGGCGAAAACTCACTCTTCCACAGCAGGGCTCACTCGCTGGAGCATCAGGATCCAATCCTGGCACTTCTTCACTGAGTGACTTGGTCGTCCTTTCGACCTCGCACCGTGTTCGCACCATTCCCGATATACGGGAGATGGGTCAGTTCGTGCAATCGCCGTTCACTTTCTGACGGTTCTCCAGGCAGGAACCTTCAGCATTTTTGGCTTCAGTGCACTCCTGTCCTCAGTCTCCTATCCAGTCCCCTTGCGTCCAGTGGGACTCCGTGTATCCTCACATGTCTTCACTGATCTCCATCAGGCATCTCGATGCCCATTCACTCTGATGGCCAGTATCTATCATTGTGGGATCACTCGAATCGACAAACATTGTGCACCGATCACCCCACAAGTGATCACTCAACATTCCATCAACAGGAGAACTCGCGTCATCTGGATGGAAGTAGCAATCACGCCATTCATGGTGCATTCATATCCACAATATCGAGAAAGGATAATCCATCTGTCTGCAGACCTCGGAGCTATAGTCACAGGATCCTCGAGATTGAGCAGTCGCAACAACAACAACTCCTTCATTTTCTCACCATGTTGAGGCAGTGAGCGCAACGCATTCTCAGGCTCAAGCTCCTCAACATTTCGACTCACTCTCGCTCTCGCTCTTCAGCCGCTTCATCGTTCTTGGCTCGGCCCTTGGAGGCAAGCGCAGTCTGCCACGATGTCAGCGTTCGGCTTCGGAGGCGTTTTGCCAATCCGTGGGTCATGTGGACGAGGGGTGTTCGTCATTGTCAGAGAATTTGCATCTCTGACAGTGACAGTGGCAGTCGAACCATCTCGGTACACCTTGTGCGTCACTCTTTGGCCAGTCAGGCGTGGCGCAGGTACCGGCATTCTCTTTGCCAGTTGTATCCGAGGGTCCAACATTTCATTTCGCCAGACCTTCGCATGGCGAATCAACTTCAGCTCAGTTTCATTCGCCTCCCGGGTGTCCTATTTGCCACCGTCGGAAGACTTCATTCCCTGAGCTGCGGCAATCAAGGCACCAATCTGACAGAGGTGGTCAATCGAACAGTCATGCGCGTCCGACACTCCACGCAACTCCAAGGCGCCAAGTTCTTCCTCAATTCCCGACATTACCTCTGGCAGGCACATTGCTGCCAGCTTTGCCGCATTCGCCACGGCATAAGGGATGACAGTCGGAGTCAGGTACACCAGTGTGCCTTGTCTCACAACCGGCGCAGGACAGTCGGGTCAATCAATGACATGTAGGCTCATGTAGGCTTTCGCCTTTCGCCGTCACAGTCCAGTAATCTTGCAACAACAGTCGGGCGACACTGACCAGTGGAAACGGTATGCCAGTGCACACATAAAACTGAACACTCTACGAGTGGCCATTGCTGCAGTCAAGCTGAACAATCTTCCGACCTTGTACATCCAGTGTCTTTCCTGACAAGCTCCGCAGTGAGGGTGCACTTTCATTCAACGGCAGCGTCGGATAATCCGGCGCAAACCATTCCGGACAACAATTCGCACAAGCTCCACTGTCGAACAGTATCTAAGTTTTTGTCGAACAGTCCAGCTTGCGTGTGCATCAAGTTAGGCGCACTCTGAGTCGGCATTGGTGGCACTCCTGAACTCAGTGCACCAATCAGCAAGCACGCTCCAACGAACAAGATCGTCATCAGTCCGGGCTTTGCTCCCCGAATACAGTCTTCGACACTCTGGATGCACTCTGATGCGCCGATTCGACAGTCACAGCTGACACATTCTGTGGTGGTTCATTCTTGGCCACCATTCCTCAGTGTTACAGGACCAGTCCTCAGGCCAAGAACTCCAGTCATCCTCGTACCAAGACCAGTCACCGGACCAATCATCGACAGAAGCAATCCACTCACCATTCCATTCACCTTCATCCCAGGACCAGTCATCATACTGCCAGTCATCTGTTCTCCACTGATCCCAGTCATCACCCCGTGCGTTTCCATTTCCTTGTTCCTCTTCAGTCACCGCTGACATTTTTCCTTTACCTTCAGGGCATTCCTTGCTCCAGTGGCTTGGTCACCACATAGAAAACATCCGTGTCCTTTTCCTTTCATTCCTTTTCTTTTGTATCCTTTTCTCTTTGCTTTGCCTTTTCCTTTGTACATTCCTTTGCCCTTTTATCCTTTTCCTTTCCTTGGGTACATTCCTCTACCTCCTTTGTATCCTTTGCCCTGCATTTTCCTTTCTTTTCTTTCAGGGCCCCTATGTCCATGTCGGCTGGTCCTTGGTGGTGATTGTCAATCCTACCACTCGGCACAGTCAGGTGTCTACTCTTGATGTAGCTGTAGATGATTTCCAGGGCCTCAGTGAACGTGCTGATGATCCTGACATTCAACCTCAAATCCTGCTGCAACGGACCAACAGTCTTCTGCATTAGCAACGTTATCAAGAGGTCGTTGTCCAACGGCCTTCCAGTCGTCTTCTCATGCTTCTTCTTCAAGATGATAAACTCACTCAGATCACTCTCCAAGTGGTCATTGCGCAAGCGGAAGCCGATGATCTCACTCAAGAGATTCGTGGATCTCGCTCGCTCTGGCAGTGAAAACTGATTGCACAATCGACGCCAGATTTCGAATCAATTCTCCGTCTCGTCCTCATTGCGCCCTTGCGGCGCCA